TTAAACCCATCTTACTTTACGAATTACGGGTATACAAGGTATAAAATAAAACATCAAAATATATTGCAAAATTAAAATTTTCATATTTTTGATATAGAAATCTCGGGTAACAATTTTTGATGGTTCCCGTTCCATCATTTCGTTAACCACTTTACATTGAAAATAAGGTTTTTTCCGAGTCATTCTTTTTCTTTTCGTCAGACTTTCATAGGCGTATTAGTTAATTTTTGCGGAAAGCATTGACAGAAAAAAACCTTTTTTAAAAAAAAAAAATTTGGTTTCGATAAATAACTACAGTGACACACAGCTTATTTGACCCACATTAAACAGCTATAACTCCAGAACCATAAGAGATACCCATAAAAATAAAACGCAGAAAGGTTAACTTTTGTTTTAACTTAAAAAATATGTTTTCATTTATTTATTATAGCAAGGAACTTCTTAATGAAACAATAAAAACAAAAAATACTGCCTTTTCAACATCACAGCTTTTCAACATGACCCAGTTCATCAAATTAATTATAAAAAATTGCTCATTGGACCCCAAAATATTACGTCATTTTCGCTGATGAGTAAAAAATTTTATATTTTTGGGTCCGAAGGACGTTCTTACGTATTGCGTAAAGCCAATACAGAGCTGCAGGACAAACATCTAAAACCCACCGTTAAGCATGACGGCGTACACGTTATGGTTTGGGCCTGTAAGTCCGCAGCAGGAGTCGGAAACCTTAAATTTATTGAAAACACAATAGATAAAAATGTTTATCTCAATATCCTTAAGGATAATTTACTCCAAAGTGCTGAGAAATTGGGAAAAAAAACAGGGTTCTACCAAGACAATGACCCAAAGCAAAAATCGAGTATAGTTCAATATGGGCTGGGTTATAATTGCCCCCATATAATGAAATCGCTAGCTCAGTCACCCGATTTTAATGTTATTGAGAATTTGTGGGCTTTGCTGGACTCAAAAATTCGGGAGCGCAATATTTCCAATAAAAATGACTTGAAGACGGCTTTGCTCTAAGAATGGGCTAAAATCACCCCAGAAACCACAAAAAAATTGGTCGAATCTATTCCCAATCGACTGAAGTCGGTTGTGGACCAAAAGAGCGGGCATACCAAATACTAAAAGTTAAAAAAATATTTTTTTTGCAATTTTTTATAATTAATTTGATGAACTGGGTCAAATAAGCTGTGACGTTGAATAAGGCAGTATTTATAGTTTTTATTGTTTAATTAAGAAGTTCCTTGATATAATAAATAATTGAAAAAATATTTTTTAAGTTAAAACAACAGTTAACCTTTCTACGTTTTATTTAATGGGTATCTCTTATGGTTCAGGAGTTTTACCTGTTTAATGTTGAAAAATAGGTGTGGGTCAAATAAGCTGTGAGCCACTGTATCTATACATATATATATGAAAAGAGGAGGCGACTGAGCGGTCGCGCATGCCAGACATGCCGTCTCAGCACTGTCCAGGCCCATAGAAGCGGGCGTTCCACAAGGTAGTGTGCTTGGCCCTACATTGTATACACTATTCTCTGACGACATGCCAAACCACTCGTCAATCACAGCACTTGCAGGAAGGGATACGCTGGTTGCAACCTACGCTGACGATACCGCGGTGCTCACCAGAAACAGCTCCATAGACCTGGCAAAAATAGGTCTCCAAGAATATCTAGATGCATTTCAGATAAATGCGCAAACGTGACCTTCGCAAATCGGGCGCTAAACTGCCCGAGTGTGACGCTTAATGGTAGAGTGTTAACTCACTCAACATCACACAAATATCTAGGAGTCATTCTAGACAGAAAGCTCAAACTCGAAAGCAATGTCAAGTCGCTGCTGCATTCTTATAGAACTAAGTTAAATCGCATGCCCTGGCTACTCTCCGCTAAAAACAAGCTTTCGCTGGACAACAAGGTTCGAATTTTCAAGTGCATTCCAGCTCCGAACTTTTTCTACGCAATACAGGTGTACGGTATCACAGCTAAAACCCACCTCAACAAAATACGGGTACTTCAAGCCAAGACGCTGAGGAGGATCTCAGGAGCTCCATGGTACATGAGAACGGCGGACATCGAGCCCGACTTCAAAGTACCAAAAATTGGCGATAAAATTCGGGCGTTTGCACAAAAATACACGGAGAGGCTTGGAGGTCATCCTAACAGCCCAGCTAGGCGACTAACGCCGAGTCATCGCACTACGGTCAGGAGAATACTGAAACGCCATCATCCTCAAGACCTCCTGGCTTGGGTCTTGACCTAATGATTACCAGCAATGCTAAACTTAAATTTCTCGCATTTCCATAGCCTCAATGTATATAATTTTTCTATAATTATATTTATTATGTGCTGCTGACATAACTAATTTTTCTGTATATTATTTCTGATTTGCTTAAGTTGCCCAGTTATGTAGGTAACAGTGCACCTATCTTTGTTACCATTTCGTTATTATTTCACAATAAATTATTATTTCACAATTACGCATTATTCCTCGGAACCCATTTGTTTTGGTATATTAATAAGTATGCTGTCATCATACTGTTGTTTTTATTAGTGGTTGCACCTGCTATTAAAAACTTTTCCCTGAGTGAATTATTGATGGGCACTTATGTTGTCCTGATAATTTCCTGTTTATGAATAGATATATATAGTGGTTAATTGTAAATAGTGAACAAAACTGCACCTGAGTTTAACGTTTATTATATTCGTTTACAAATAGGGTATATCGAGAAATATAATCATAGGAGCACCAAGTTTTCTATTATGGCTATTAATTAAATTCACATCTATAAATCTTAAAAAATGTGGCCATATACATATACAGTGGATCACATTAATATTCGGTTTTTTTTTTTTACTACAATCGCAAATAAAATGTTTAAAACTAACAATAACAACAAACTTCAAAATGGGAAAATAAAGCTTTTTTATTACCTATTCGGAAAGGTGCATATAGTAAGGTTTTATTTAAAATTAAAACTAAAAAACATAGATAAACAAAAAAACTCAACATTTTGCGTTACTTTAGTATTCGGTTTTATCTTATATAACTACAAAAAACATTTTTTATCATGAAAATAAACTTAATTTAATACTTCGTATGATAGCCATTATTTTTTATGGTATCGGCCAAACGTTTTGGCATATTTTGAATAATTTTTTTGGTGTATTCGGGGCCAATTTTAGCCCACTTTTTCTGAAGCCGTTCCTTCAAGGCCGATATGGATGAAATTGGCATTTTGTGGACACGGCGGTCCAACTCACTCCACAAATTCTCAATCGGATTGAGATCAGGCGATTGAGGAGGCGTTTCCAAAACTATTGGACAGTTATAAAGCAGCCAGGACCTAACCTTATGGGCCTTATGTTTCCGGTCATTGTCTTGGTACAACTTAAAAGTCTCGCCAATGCCCATTTTTTCCGCCGACTGCTTCAAATTCTCCTTCAAAATTTTTAAATATTGGTCCTGGTTCATAATTCCTTCAATAAATACAAGATTTCCCACTCCTTTTGCGGAAATGCAGCCCCAAATCATCACACTTCCGCCGCCGTGTTTTACAGTCGGTCTTAGGTGTTTTTTTTGCAGCTCCGTAATTGGTTGCCGCCAAACCATGGTCTTGCCGTCACTGCCAAAAAGGTTAAATTTACTCTCGTCCAAGAAAATTACATCGTCCCACCAGCTTTGGTCCTTTTTCGAGTACTCCAGGGCAAAATTTTTCCTTAACTTCCGGTTACGCTGAGCCAGCAAAGGCTTTTTGCGAGCGACTCTGCCGTTGTACCCATGGTTTTTTATGGTACGACGAACGGTTTGGGCTGAAACGGTCTTCCCATGGTCGGCGAAGAGTTCGGCCTTCAATTCTGGCGCACTAAGTCTAGGATTTTTCTTCACTTTTCGGACTATTTCCGCTTCCTCGCGCTCAGTCAATTTTTTCGGTTGTCCTTTTTGCTTAATTGAGGCGACTCTTCCCTCATTTTTAAACCGTCGGACGATGTCACCAACCGTATTCGGCTTCATCTCCAGGATTTTGGCAGTTTCCTTGTAAGTTTTGCCCTCTAAATGCAGTTGGAGAACGAGTTTTCGCTGCTCCAAGGACGAATTTTTGCTCTTACGGCCCATCTTAAATTTTGGAGCTAAAACTTAGTATATTGGTCTGTTTGCTGTCAATTATTGACACATAGATGTTGGCTTTTTTTGGGAAACCCATTTTGTCATAGAGTAAGAAACTATATAGAGGTTTCATTTGCTCTGCCCGGGCCTCTGCCAAAGCTCTGCTGAGAGCCATGTTCGAAGCTAACTTCTTCTAACTTCGGTTTCTCACCACTTCTAACATGTGCGAAGCACAAGCAATAGTATGGGGAGTTTTCGCACCAATCCTTAGGAATAAGAGCGACCAGTGCAGCAATAAGAATTCACCATGGGCATGGAATGAAGCTCGATTCGAACAAATGAAAAACTCTCTTTTTTTCCGTTTTTCCCCTACGTGGCATCACTGGCAAAGTCACTCGAGAGCGCGGGCAGAGCAAATGAAACCTCTATGTAGTTTCTTACTCTATGATTTTGCGGGCTAATTTTTGGGTATTCGGAGTTGCCACAGGGTTTTTTTTGACGACTTTCAAAAAATACCGAATACTAAAGTAACGCAAATTTTGACCTTTTTTTTTTGTTTACATATGTTTCTTCTGTAAATTTTAAATAAAGTCTGAATATATATATACCTATGAAAAGGTAATATTACCAACTTTAATACCACATAAAAAAAAATTGTTTTTTCAAAGTCTTGTACATTTTATTTGCTTTTGAAATTTAAAAAACAAAAAACCGAATATTAATGAGATCCACTGTAGGTACAGACTTTCGTCTTATTGGCAAGATACAGTGTCGTTATACATAGTAGAAATCGAACATTTAGGAAAGCTCGATATCATTTTTATTTTTAAAATATTTATGGTCCCTGCACGCTATCGTAGTCACGCTTATCAAATAGTCCTGTATCGTTATTCTGATATTTACAAAATATAATTTGTTACTTCATAATTTGTCATAAAATATCTTTAACAACATTTTTGGATACAATTTTCGGGCTTATTTTCACACGCATGGAAGGCTATATCCAATCTACGTCGGGTTATGGTGTTATCAAGTTAAGTAAGCAAAAGTCGAAATAACTAGACTTGATGGCGTCTTCCCACAGATATCCATATACCATCCGTTGAACGGATTGTCCATTGTGCAAGCAGCACAGAACAAAACAAAAAGTAATCATTTTTTAAAATTTTTTTTCTGATTGTTCCTTTGGCAGCTATATGATATAGTCGCCCGATCCGGCTCGTTCTGACTTATATACTACCTGCAATACAAAGACAACATTGGGGAAAGTTTCAATCAGATAGCTTTAAAACTGAGGGACAAGTTTCCGTAGAAACGGACGGACTGACGAACGGACGGACAGACGGACAGGGCTACTCTCCTGTTTTTGGGTTGTTCTCTTAAGCCGAGAACAAAACCTCTTTTTAGTGGCTGTGAGAGCGATATTTGTATTTTATGCTCAATGTTGCGTAACGCACAAACATGCGGTTCAATTCTGGAAAACCTAAGCTAACACACTAAGTCAGGGACCTACCACCATTTTATTTGGTATTGTCGACTACGCAGATCTATTTTTGATAAGGTCGGATATCTGTTAAACTCATTGTTGTGCTAGACTCAAAGTATACCAAAGCTAAGGAAAGTACCAAAGCTGAAGTAAAGACCAACGAAGGAGCTGGACAATTTATATCGAAATTAAGAACAACCGATCAAGTTTTTCCTCATCATCTTAAACCGGTTGCACAAAATCTACACAAACTTGACTGATACTCCGTTTTTTGCACGAATTTATAAAATGATAGAAGTAGAACTGAAAGATGTGCTGTCAAGCTCCGATCGAGAAGAAAATAAGACAACGATGGCATCGGTCATATTCAATAATTAAAACGATTAAAAAACACACCAAATTCTACTGGCGTAAACCTTAACTTTTTTTTAACTTTTACTTTAAATTGTTTTAGACTTTACTTTTAAATTGTTTTAGAATTTATTCAAAATTAAGTTAAACAAGAACAATGACGTCAGCGCTAGCAGATAAATTCACTTTAGCGCCAGTACCATCTATTAGGGGCATATTTGTTATAAAACTGATTAAAAAAATTACGTGTTTTGATAGTCGTGGAGTTCGACACTATAGTGTTCTTCTTGTTAAGATTCTTGTTTCTATACATTTTCAATTTAAAATATAGTGATTTGAAATAACGTTCAAAGAGGAATGAAGAGAACCAAAGATAAAAACAAACTTTATACCCGTTACTCGTAGAGTAAAAGTTTAGTTGTTCATGAGAACTCCAGCGTTTGAATCTCTAGCTTAGTTCGTCCGTTTACTAAAAATATTCTAAGCATTCTGTGACATCATTTCGTGAACCACTGTACTTTGAAAATAAAGTTTTTTTTGTGCTTAAATTTACTTTTCATTAGACTTTGAAAGGCGTATTGTATCCATAATATTAGTTTTCCGAAAAGCCAATGAAAAGCATTAACAAAAAACATTTTTATCCATGAAAATCAAATTTTGGTTTGGATACTAAAATACAGAGAAGTTTAATCATCAACACCAAGTATGTATATGGTGAATAATAATACTATTAACATCTCACAGCTTATTTGAACCAACCACTTTTTACTCCGATTTCTCGGAACTCGTTGAACGAATTACGGGAATTCCTTTTGCTACATATGTCTTCATATGTGTTCGAAGGAATTTGTTTCCTAAATTTTAGCCATAATTCGACACTGTCGAAGAACGGGAGATATCCAGCAAATAAGCTTTATAGGTAACTCTTTGAACACGTCATGGGCTTTTGTATCTTTGAAACCCGTTGAGTTAAGAACCTTAAAATCGACACATATAAAAAGTGCAAAGGATCCGTATCAGTTTTATAAGTTTGTTAAACCCATCTTACTTTACGAATTACGGGTATACAAGGTATAAAATAAAACATCAAAATATATTGCAAAATTAAAGTTTTCATATTTTTGATATAGAAATCTCGGGTAACAATTTTTGATGGTTCCCGTTCCATCATTTCGTTAACCACTTTACATTGAAAATAAGGTTTTTTCCGAGTCATTCTTTTTCTTTTCGTCAGACTTTCATAGGCGTATTAGTTAATTTTTGCGGAAAGAATTGACAGAAAAAAACCTTTTTTATAAAAAAAAAATTTGGTTTCGATAAATAACTACAGTGACACCTAATTTTTAACATTAAACAGCTATAACTCCTGAACCATAAGAGATACCCATAAAAATAAAACGCAGAAAGGTTAACTTTTGTTTTAACTTAAAAAATATGTTTTCATTAATTTATTATAGCAAGGAACTTCTTAATGAAACAATAAAAACAAAAAATACTGCCTTTTTCAACGTCACAACTTATTTGACCCAGTTCATCAAATTAATTATAAAAAATATTACGTCATTTTCGCTGATGAGTAAAAATTTTATATTTTTGGGTCCGAAGGACGTTCTTACGTATTGCGTAAAGCCAATACAGAGCTGCAGGACAAACATCTAAAACCCACCGTTAAGCATGACGGCGTACACGTTATGGTTTGGGCCTGTAAGTCCGCAGCAGGAGTCGGAAACCTTAAATTTATTGAAAACACAATAGATAAAAATGTTTATCTCAATATCCTTAAGGATAATTTACTCCAAAGTGCTGAGAAATTGGGAAAAAAACAGGGTTCTACCAAGACAATGACCCAAAGCAAAAATCGAGTATAGTTCAATATGGGCTGGGTTATAATTGCCCCCATATAATGAAATCGCTAGCTCAGTCACCCGATTTTAATGTTATTGAGAATTTGTGGGCTTTGCTGGACTCAAAAATTCGGGAGCGCAATATTTCCAATAAAAATGACTTGAAGACGGCTTTGCTCTAAGAATGGGCTAAAATCACCCCAGAAACCACAAAAAAATTGGTCGAATCTATTCCCAATCGACTGAAGTCGGTTGTGGACCAAAAGAGCGGGCATACCAAATACTAAAAGTTAAAAAAATATTTTTTTTGCAATTTTTTATAATTAATTTGATGAACTGGGTCAAATAAGCTGTGACGTTGAATAAGGCAGTATTTATAGTTTTTATTGTTTAATTAAGAAGTTCCTTGATATAATAAATAATTGAAAAAATATTTTTTAAGTTAAAGCAACAGTTAACCTTTCTACGTTTTATTTAATGGGTATCTCTTATGGTTCAGGAGTTTTACCTGTTTAATGTTGAAAAATAGGTGTGGGTCAAATAAGCTGTGAGCCACTGTATCTATCCCTAAAGATTATAAAATGAAAGACCGATTTTTAAGGGGATACGGCCACAGCCCAAACCGTAAGAGCAAGAGCAGCCAAATTTTTTCACAGTATTCCATTGGGGGCGTGGGCGCCCACTAAGATCCGATATGACCCCCAGTGGCCCCAAACAGCTCCAACATCCATTATTCTGAGCAAAAAAAAGTTGATGTATTTAAGCTTAACTTCTAAACTGGTTGGAATTTCGATATTTGGTTTTTTCCGAATTTTAGGTTTTGAAAAGGGCTAATTAGAAATCTAAAAGAAATTTTGATATCCCCCATAATTTGGGGCCTACATTTAAAATTAACTTTTCGATTTAAAAAATCTAAGCCGCTGCTCCGATCAAGATGAGTTTTCGCTCAATAGTTATTCTATGGCCCAAATGCTTAAGTTTCATTTTTCAAGTTTTTAACATTTTTTAAGTATTTTTAACGAATTTATTTAGATTTTCTAAGTCATTGCGTTGCATTTTGCGGGAGCCTGTCGAGAGAACGAAACCCAGAAGCCAAGAGAGCGACGGCCGAGAGAGCAACAGCCAAGAAAACTGATGAGGGGGAGGGGTAGTGCTGCAGGGAAAGGGGAGGGGAAAGAGGCAATTTAAGTTAAATTTGTTTAGGATTTTAAAAACTTAAACTGCTGCTTCGATCAATAGGATTTTCGATCAATAGTCAGTCCTGTGGATCAAATGCTTAGGTTCTATTTTTCATTTTGTAGCAGAAGTAAGAGCCTTATTTAATTTCCACCATGGAAGAAAATAGAAAATTACTACAAATTCTGTAAGCAAAGCCAAAATGTTTCCAAGTTAAATATTAATCTGAAGATTCGAACTTTTGACCAAATACGTATGTACATATGTATATTTGGATATGTTTTGATTTGCTTATATGTACAATACATGTACATACATACAATGTGTGTGTATGTTTCTATTCGAAAGTAGATAATGTGCTTAAATACAAATAAAATGATTTATTATACCCGTTTATCGATCAAATGTGGAATCTGAAAATAATACGTTACTTTGCTGTTTTTGTATTGGATGCCAATCTTTTACTGTGTGTACAAAGGTTTTCGTTTCATTCAAAACAAGAAATTTGAAAACAACAAATTCCAATTTACAAACAAGTATACATATTTGTGCGCAAATTAAAATTGCATTGATAACATTGTAACTGATAAAAAGTATACTAGCTCACGGCTTTTACTTGGATCACTTTCATTTATTATATAGCTTAGTATCCTTCTGATTCTCTCTCTTGAAGGATCTTCTACAAAGGTTGTTTACACAAAGGTTTTCAAAAAACGCCCAAATAAGAAATAAGAAAGTCCTGACAACCCAATTTCCTAACTCTAAACTAATATTAAGCGAACGAGCAAAAAGTCGTATACAATACAGTTTTACAAAGCGTTGGGATCTCAGCCCCAACGCTGAAATATTTTTTTTGGATGCACCTGGAGGGACAGGTAAAACCTTCTTGACAAACTTATTGTTGGCATTTGATGGTTTAGAAGTCTCCTATAAATCGGTCGACTCTGTTCATGATGCTGATAATGCTGTTCATTACCCTATTGAATTTTTAAATTCTTTGAATCCTCCAGGAATTCCTCAGCATAATCTGTCTCTTAGGATTGGAGCACCCGTAATGTTATTGCGAAATTTAAGTCCCCCAAAGTTATGCAATGGGACACGATTGCAGATAAAAGGTCTTCATAAGAATGTAATCGAAGCAACAGTATTTACGGGGTGCGCGAAGGGGGAAACAGTGTTTATACCCAGGATCCCATTAATACCATCCAGTCTGCCGTTTAAGTTTAAAAGGCTACAATTCCCTCTAAAAGTTTGCTTTGCAATAACTATAAATAAATCGCAGGGGCAGACTTTGAAGCTGGCTGGACTAGATCTTAGAGAAGATTGCTTCTCTCATGGACAATTTTATGTCACATGCTCTAGAGTTAGCTCTGCCAGTAGCCTTATTATTCTCGCTCCTGAAGGATCTTCTAAAAATGTTGTTTACACAGAGGTTTTAAAGTAATCATATTAATTAACATTATTAAACCTAGAAAGTTTCAGTGGAATAGGTCTAATTAGAGTTACCACATTAAAAAAAAACGCACCAATTTCTATACCCCAGGGGTGGTGTGGGAATGGGAAAGACTTGACAACCGTACTCAAAACTAATTTTAAGCGAACGAAGTCGCGCCGGGTACAGCTAGTACATATATATATGAAAAGAGGAGGCGACTGAGCGGTCGCGCATGCCAGACATGCCGTCTCAGCACTGTCCAGGCCCATAGAAGCGGGCGTTCCACAAGGTAGTGTGCTTGGCCCTACATTGTATACACTATTCTCTGACGACATGCCAAACCACTCGTCAATCACAGCACTTGCAGGAAGGGATACGCTAATTGCAACCTACGCTGACGATACCGCGGTGCTCACCAGAAACATCTCCATAGACCTGGCAAAAATAGGTCTCCAAGAATATCTAGATGCATTTCAGGAATGGGCTAGGATTTGGAACGTGTGCATCAATGCAGATAAATGCGCAAACGTGACCTTCGCAAATCGGGCGCTAAACTGCCCGAGTGTGACGCTTAATGGTAGAGTGTTAACTCACTCAACATCACACAAATATCTAGGAGTCATTCTAGACAGAAAGCTCAAACTCGAAAGCAATGTCAAGTCGCTGCTGCATTCTTATAGAACTAAGTTAAATCGCATGTCCTGGCTACTCTCCGCTAAAAACAAGCTTTCGCTGGACAACAAGGTTCGAATTTTCAAGTGCATTCCAGCTCCGAACTTTTTCTACGCAATACAGGTGTACGGTATCACAGCTAAAACCCACCTCAACAAAATACGGGTACTTCAAGCCAAGACGCTGAGGAGGATCTCAGGAGCTCCATGGTACATGAGAACGGCGGACATCGAGCCCGACTTCAAAGTACCAAAAATTGGGGATAAAATTCGGGCGATTGCACAAAAATACACGGAGAGGCTTGGAGGTCATCCTAACAGCCCAGCTAGGCGACTAACGCCGAGTCATCGCACTACGGTCAGGAGAATACTGAAACGCCATCATCCTCAAGACCTGCTGGCTCGGGTCTTGACCTAATGATTACCAGCAATGCTAAACTTAAATTTCTCGCATTTCCATAGCCTCAATGTATATAATTTTTCTATAATTTATATTTATTATGTGCTGCTGACATAACTAATTTTTCTGTATATTATTTCTGATTTGCTTAAGTTGCCCAGTTATGTAGGTAACAGTGCACCTATCTTTGTTACCATTTCGTTATTATTTCACAATAAATTATTATTTCACAACGAGGACGGAAGCTAACTTCGGCAAGCCGAAGTTTTAATACCCTTGCAGACTTTGACGAAATTGCTAAAAGTGAAAAAGTAGCGAAAGGAATAAGGTATACATAAGTAAACTAGATTTGCATCGTTTCAAGTCAATTGCTTTTATACTGCAAAAATGTCATATACAAAAGGGATACTTTCGCAGCCTTTAACAATTTTTTTCTATCTCCTTTAAGATATAGACTTCCGAGCGGCAAGCGCTTTTACCCTAATCAAGATATGCGTAAATAAATAAGAATTGGAAAATTTTATGTTAGTAGCTTACACACTGCGCGAAATATTCTGATAATCATCAAATTTGGACCGATTTCACCCTATTGTTCCTATGGGAGCTATAGGATATAGACGTCCGATCGGCACGCGCTTTCACCTTGATCAATGTATGCATAAAAAAATAGGATTTGGAAAGATTCATGTCAATAGCTTGTATACTGCGTGAAATATCCTAAAAATCATTAAATTTTAACCGATTTTACACTTTTGTTCCTATGGGAGCTATAGGATATAGACGTCCGATCGTCACGCGCTTTTACTCTGATCAAGGTACGCATAAAAAAATAAGATTTGGAAAGATTTATGTCAATAGCTTCTACACTGCGCGAAATATCTTCCATTCTTGCAAGTTATATCCGATTGTTCCTATGGGAGATATAGGATATAGACATCCGATCGGGGCGGTTTTCAAACTTGATCTGCGTACACTTGTTTTAGGACGACTGTGAAAGTTTCAGATCGCTAGCTTTTAAACTGAGCTCGCAAACGGTATTGAAACAGACGGACAGACGGACGGACGGACAGACGGACAGACGGACATGGCTATATCGACACCCCTATTGATCCTGATCAAGAATATATATACTTTATAGGGTCGGAAACGTCTCCTTCACTGCGTTACAAACTTCTGACCAAAATTATAATACCCTCTACAAGGGTATAATTACGCATTATTCCTCGGAACCCATTTGTTTTGGTATATTAATAAGTATGCTGTCATCATACTGTTGTTTTTATTAGTGGTTGCACCTGCTATTAAAAACTTTTCCCTGAGTGATTTATTGATGGGCACTTATGTTGTCCTGATAATTTTCTGTTTATGAAATAACATTGAACGATACGGAAGCAGATATATATAGTGGTTAATTGTAAATAGTGAACAAAACTGCACCTGAGTTTAACGTTTATTATATTCGTTAACAAATAGGGTCTATCGAGAAATATAATCATAGGAGCACCAAGTTTTCTATTATGGCTATTAATTAAATTCACATCTATAAATCTTAAAAAATGTGGCCATATACATATAGGTACAGACTTTCGTCTTATTGGCAAGATACAGTGTCGTTATACATAGTAGAAATCGAACATTTAGGAAAGCTCGATATCATTTTTATTTTTAAAATATTTATGGTCCCTGCACGCTATCGTAGTCACGCTTATCAAATAGTCCTGTATCGTTATTCTGATATTTACAAAATATAATTTGTTACTTCATAATTTGTCATAAAATATACAATTTTCGGGCTTATTTTCACACGCATGGAAGGCTATATCCAATCTACGTCGGGTTATGGTGTTATCAAGTTAAGTAAGCAAAAGTCGAAATAACTAGACTTGATGGCGTCTTCCCACAGATATCCATATACCATCTACCATCCGTTGAACGGATTGTCCATTGTGTTTTGTCGTTTAAGTGTGTAAGCACAGGTAATTTATATACATGGAACAATATATTGGCAACCCATTTCACGATATTATTTTTTGCAAGCAGATAAAAACAATTGGGGCCAAGCCGTGGGATTCTGTCCGTGAGGCAGCATTAATAGTTGCTCCACACTTTCCTAGGCGCATAACGTACTCACAACATGGAGCAGAACACATTGGAAAACGAGAGTATGTCCCCAGACTTATATTTGTGTTTTACAATTAACTTCTAAAATATATTTATTGCAGGTACTAGAGGGAATAGGTGGACCACAAGGCCGAGCTTGTGGCGATAGCGCTTGAGCAAGGCTGGAGAAGCAGCAAGCGCAGACCGAGATCCTGTCTGCCATCCTTGACATAAAAAATAAAATGAAATATTAAATTATAATAAAACAAAAAACAAACATATTTATATATAATGTACCAGATTTGTTACTCTTTAGACAATATGGGGCAATAGCTATTCCTATTATTTCAGCAGGCCGATTGGTTGTTAGTTCCCTTGCAGTCTGTTACCAGGTATAATTTATAGCGCTGTGGTCCTTCTTTTAAATGTTTTGTAAAACGCAACAATGATTAGCCACAGCTGTGCAGATCAGCTGTTATCGGATGGTGGAAGTGCTCTGTGGGAATCGGATGAACTATATTGGAAGACAGTAAAAGAAAGTTTGGCCTGATAAGCAGGGAGGCATTTTCGACTTTTATATAAATCAAGATATTATAATGCTTCCAGTTTCCTCTTATTTTAATTCTATCTAACGCTGTTTCCACTCTCATAAGTTTTTCTTCACTTTTCTGCAATTAATGAGATGCCGGAAATGCCTAAAGTTCACCGTGCCCTTTTAGGTACGAATAGCATATTCAAAAATCATTTTTTTGAGAGCTCGATTACAGAAAAAACACTGAATTAAACTTATATTCAAGTTTGACATCATCTGTTTTTTGTTTTGGTTTTGATTTAGAGCTGGCTTTTGTTGATTGTTGATCCAAATTCCGTCAATATAGTCCCAAAAAGTTGCACGATTTTTTTAACATTGTATATATTTTGAAACTCATTTATGTGCTCTATTTTCCAATCATTTGTTTCTATTGTCCAAATTGGGTTAACTCCATAGCTCGGGCTTTGAACAGATGTTCTTTGTTTTGATTTTGCTGCAGAGGGTAAATAGTTGTTTTTCATCGTCGGCCATAAATTTTGCTTAAAGCAGCTGTGATAGTGGTGATATTGATGGGCGACCAATAGTCAAAAAAGGTCCTAAATATGGACAAGTTTTTCTTCGCTTTTTTGCATATTTATAAGTCCCTGAAAAATTCAGCAAAAGCGTCCGAAACTCTACTTATGTATGTATGTGCTTATCTCCACTTTTGACCATTCAGCCTAGTATCCACATCGACAAACGATTACGCTAGCGTAAAAACTTTAATCTTCCCAGTGTGGCCAAAAGTTTGAGAGTTCATCAGATTTAAGTGTGCTACGGTCGTACTGTCAATCAGCTGGGTTTGTTGACAAGCAGTTAAAATTCAAATATCGTATATGCGGGAAAGAGCCTTTAAAAGATATTATCAAATACCTTGGCAAGACAAGTCTGCCGCTGTACAAAGAAATTAAAAAACAATACAATTTAAATTTAACAGTTCTTTTTTTTCATTTACTGATAATTATTTGCTAATTTAAAGTTCATAGCTGCACTTTTATTGTGTTTTTTCGTACGTTCTGGACCTAAAAAACATTTTGCTCTGACAACAGGCACCCCAGATAGTATTAATGTTATTTTGTCCTCACATGTAAACACCTGCAATCGACTTTTGTGAGTTTTTTGAGTTTTTCCCTCCATTTCTTATAATGTTCAGTGAGAAGCGCACGCCAAAAGATTAAATTTTTTAATCTTTTCGCTAGGGTTCACCCAAAGTTAATTTCCGCAGACTGGCAACGCTATGGAATTTTCTGGTATTTTTTTCTTCGATCAGGGGACCGACGTGAAAAGAAAGCCCGACGAAAAGTGAACGCCAGCTGTTTGCCTCTCGATCTCTCTCATGACTGGCGTACGGTTCACGTCGAAGTGGATACTAGGCTTTTAATGCGACAAAATATCAAAAAACATATTATAATTTTAAATTTCAGAATATTTACGATACAAGCCTAGTATCCAGATCGAAAAACGAGTATGCTAGCGTAAAAACTTTAATCTTTCCAGTGTGACCAAAGTTTCGAGAGTTCATCAGATTTAAGCGTGCTACGGTCGTACTGTCAATCAGCTGGGTTTGTAGACAAGCAGTTAAAATTCAAATATCGTATTTGCGGGAAAGAGCCTTTAAAAGATATTATCAAATACCTTGGCAAGACAAGTCTGCCGGTGTACAAAGAAATTAAAAAACAATTCAATTTAAATTTAACAGTTCTTCTTTTTAATTTACTGATAATTATTTGCTAATTTAAAGTTCATAGCTGCACTTTTATTGTGTTTTTTCGTACATTCTATACCTAAAAAACACTTTGCTCTGACAAGAGGCACCCCAGATTGTATTAATGTTATTTTGTCCTCACATGTAAACTCCTGCAATCGACTTTAGCGAGTTTTTTGAGTTTTTCCTCCATTTCTTATGTTCAGTGAAATGTAATCTTTTCAGTAATCTTTTCGCTAGGGTTCACCCAAAGCTAATTTCCGCAGACTGGCAACGCTATGGAATTTTCTGGTATTTTTTTCATCGATCAGGGGACCGATGTGAAAAAAAGGCCCGACGAAAAGTGAACGCCAGCTGTTTGCCTCTCGCTCTCTCTCATGACTGGCGTACGGTTTTCGTCGATCTGGATACTAGGCTACAGGACTATAAGTAAAAGGCGATAACGATAGTGCGTAGGTATTATAAATATTTTTCTAATGAAAATGGTATCGAGCTTTCCTAAATGTTCAAGTTTTGATATGTGCATATAACGAAATTTGGTCGGCCCAATAATGCTAAAATAAATATCTATATATGCGTTTTTTTTCTATTACGGTATATATAAGAATTTCATTGTCAAAGCCTAGTACCCAGATCGAAAAACGAGTCCGCTAAAGTAAAAACTTTAATCTTGCCAGTGTGACCAAAATTTCGAGAGTTCATCCGAACTGAGCGTTGTACGGTCTTACTTCCAATCAGCTGGGTTTGTTGACAAGCAGTTAAAATTCAAATATCGAATGTGGGGAAAGGAACCTTTAAAAGATTTTATCAACTACGTTGGCAAAACAATTTAAATTTAACAGTTGGTTTTTTAAATTAACTGATAATTATTTGGTAATTTAAAGTTCATAGCTGCACTTTTAATGTGTTCTTTCGTACATTTTGACCTAAGAAAACCTTTGCTCTGACAAGAGGCACCCCAGATAGTATTAATGTTATTTTGTCCTCACATTTAAACTCCAGCAATTTCAGGTGGTTGGTAACATGAAGTAATTTTCTGGTATTTTTTCGACGATCTGAGTACCGAACTGAAAAAAGGCGTGACGAAAAGTGAACACCAGCTGTTTGCCTCTCGCTCTCTCTCATGCAGTTTTCGTCGATCTGAGTAGTACCCATTTCATGCAACGAAAATGGACAAAACAATTTCCTAGCGGCAGTCCCCAGGCCTAATACAATAACATTGTATTGTTATTGGGACTCCTGGATTTTACGACCAGCAGTCATGTCTTTACATTGAGGTAATCCCAGCGTGGCCGTTGGCGGTCTGCAATTTGAAGGGTGCTTAGCAGAATTGAAAACACTCAATTTATTTATACTTACCCTCATTGTTAATAAGGAGAAAAAGTGGGTGTCCTTAAGCTGGGAGCAGCACAAAAACTTGATACATTTATCCGAGGCCATATATTCTCATTTTAAGGCAGCCTTGTACACTCTCTCGCATATCTCAGCATAGACCACCAAAAAAATTTCAAAATCAAACTTTTATCAATAATTGTTTTGGCATTTATGCATCTATTTCACTCATTATTTTTTTAAACGAAATCTTAGTTTATTGTCTTCAATTACGTATTTTTCCAGAATTATTTAACAATGGGTTATATTTTTTTAATTTTAAACTTAACAAATGTGTACGCACAAAAGCGTACAGCTGTTTAAAGCTAAGTGGAATGCAAGATTGTGCGATTACCGTTAGGACTTTTGGCGCCGATCTTCTACAGAATGTCTAAGCTATAGGTATTGCGCAGTTAAAACTAAAATTGTTCGTCAAATTCAGGCCAATGGATAAAAAAGGCAAGAAATTTCTGTTGATATACAATTTTTTTTGGACGGAAAATCCTATAGGGATATTGGTGCTCTTGTTGTCAAAGGCTCGTTCTGGCCGTCCGCCCATGCTAACCAACCGTCAAAAAAAACTATTATTAAGACTATTCAGCTTAATCCCAGGACTACAGCTCATGAGGCTAAGCTACAGATTTTTTTTTTTTTTTAAATATATGATTTATTTATTGAACCTTCTCTATTTGAGACTAACAATAAGTATATCAAATCTTTAGAATATAACTTAACTTACAGTCATATAGACTGAATTTAGACTAACGGGCCCTAATATTTATTGCTGGTAGATCGTTACGATGCAGACGAGTTCTGTTCGAAACCCGTCTTAGGTTCCTTGCGGGATTATTTGGGTGCAGTGTAAGCTTGTTATGGCAGATAGCGGCCTATATCTGCTTTGCTATTTCATCTTTGACCGGTGGTATGTCCAGATCCCTGTGGATGTTTTCGTACCGAACATACCATGGTGCCCCAGTGATTGTTCGCTGGATTTTTGATTGTGATGGCTGTGATGTTGTGATGTCAATGTTGCTGTTGCTCGCGTTCCCCCAGAGCTGGGAGCCGTAGGTCCAAATGGGCTTGAGGGTGGAGTTGTAGAGAAGAACCTTAAAGTCCAGACACAGGGGTGATCGAGAATTTATAATCCAGTGTAGGCTGCTAGCTTTAAGTCTGAGATGTACTTTCTTGCATTCAATGTGCCTCCGCCAGGTTAGGCGTCTGTCGAGGTGGACGCCGAGATATGTTACATCGGTGGCTTGGGGAATCTGCGTACTATTCAAAGTTAGCGGGGGCACGATTGTCTGTTAAGGGTAAACGTTATATGTTTACACTTTTGTTCATTAATTTTTATTCGCCAGTCTGATAGCCACTTCTCAACTACCACCAAATGATCAGCCAGTTGAGCTTTTGCTCTAGTTGGGCATCTCGAGCGGCTCAGGATTGCGGTGTCGTCAGCAAATGTGGACGTAGTCAGCCTCTCGTTCGTAGGAATGTCTGCTGTGTATAGGACAAACAGGGTAGGGCGCAGTGCGCTACCTTGTGGGACTCCGGCTTCAATGTTATACTCGTTGCATGTCGTTGTATTGCATCTATCCTCAAAGACTCTGTGGTAGAGGTACGACTTAAGTAACTTATGAGTGATTTGATGATTTTATGCATAAGGCCTTCAAGCCCCACTCGGTCGAATGCCTGAGAGACGTCGAGGAATATCGCACTACAATATTCCCGATGTTCGAAGGCTGTACGAATTTCTGAAGTTATCCGGTTGACTTGCTCGATGGTTCCGTGGCTTTCACGAAACCCGAATTGATGTGCCGGGATTAAGTTTTGTTCTTTTAAATATGGTGTAATGCGCGTGAGCAGGCATTTTTTCAGTAATTTGGACAGGCATGATAGTAAGCTTATTGGCCTGTACGATGAGGGAATTGTGTGGTCTTTCCTAGGCTTCGGTATCATTATAACCACGGACTTTTTCTATTTTTTGGGGTAGTAGTCCAGTTTTGTGATCCCGTTAAATAGCTTGCATATAACATCCACTGCGCAGTTTGGAAGTTCAATTAACATTTTTGGGGTTATTAGGTCGCGCCCTGGAGCCTTTTTCGGTTTTATTTGCTTCCTAATGACGTTAGCAATTTCAGGTGCTTGATACAAAATCGGGTTAATTGCAATTTCAGAGCTAAGCGGCGGTAGTTGAAGAGAGTTTGTGGCGGCGTTCAGCTGAAATACATTTCGTAGGTGTAAAGCAAATGTTTCGGCTCTGTCTTCGTCACTGCGGGCCCAAGTACCCGAGGAGTTTCTAATCGGAGTGACTGATTCTATCGGAGAGCTTAAACCGGAGCTGCTCTTCAGTTATTGTAAAACGCGGTGGGCAATAGACAGCGGCTATAGTTATACTGCCGTTGCAAATAATTTGTTGCAAACCTCTAGTGAAAGTGGTGCTTAATGCGTTCCCTGATTAGGATTCCAGTTCCTCCGTGAGCCTTACCGTCCAGATGATCTGCGCAGTATG